TCCAGAGGCGAGGAGCCACCGCTGAGAAGGCCCTTTTTCTTGTCTTCTCCTTCCGGGCCTCCCTCGGCGTTAGGCTCCTCAGCATCACCTCCTGGCTCGCACGAGTGACACGGGTAGATCTTGGCGGGAGAAGGCGTTCCGCCAAGTATCGAGGTCCTAAACCGTTTAGATCTTTATATGTGAGCATCGACACTTTGAAGTCGATGCGGAATCGGATGGGCAGCCAATGCAATGCATTAAACTGTTCGCCTTGGAAGCAGAATGGCAGGCTAAACACGTTGACCATAAAGGAATACATACATATAGAGTAGACTTTGTCTAAAAGGGCGGGATAGAAATCTAAAAAATAAATAATAAATAAATAAATAAAATAAAAGAAATCTATCCCGCCTATGTTTATACGCCCGCCCGCACATGTCTGTCTATTTGCATCACACACACACAAAAATAACTGTCCACAAATGTGTGCCACGTTTCTTCGATAAAAACGAGATTACAAACAAACAAACAAAAAAAGTTGAATTGCAAACTCAAGTCAGAGGTGGAGGTTGCGGGTGCAGCCGGGGTGCAAACCTGGCTTATTTTTTGCATTTTTTTTAAAAAAAAATAAGTCTAATAAAGATATACCTTCAGGCACTCTTTCCCAGAATAACTGTTGGTCTGAGAGGGGTTTCTAAATGAATGGTGGTGCCCTGTTGTTTTAAATGTGCTTTAGCATTGACTTCATTACTGCTTTTAATGTTAATTCTTGTTTGATTCTTTTAAAATACAGTATGTGCACACCTACTGTGTTTAGATTCTACGTGTTGTCTTTTTAATGATGTAAGTTGCAGGCTCAAGTCAGAGGGGGCAGCTTGGATTCTTTTTAAAGAGAAAAATATTTTAAATAAAATAAAGAAATAAATGTGCCCACGCCCAGGGTGATGGTAGTGGACAGCGTGGCAGATTAGGAGACCCAGGTTCAAATTTCGGCTCAGCCATGGAAACTCATTGGGAAAGTGGAACTGGAAAAGCCATTCTGAATTACCTTGAAAGCCCTATTTGGGTCGCTTTAAGTTGATTCTGACTTGGCGACACATAACTAACACACACTTGTGTAAAGGAGCACACAGCTTTTTCCACTTCCTTCCCTCCCCAGGTTATATAGTGGTTAGAGCAGCTTCTCACACACACCGTTAGAGCTCTCAATGTGTGGAACGATTGCTGCCATCATCATGGCCCAAATGAGACCAAACGGTCTGTCATCAATGGAAGACACTCACTTAGGAAATAAGGGGTTAGAATGACTGATTCGGGACCTCGGCTTTCTTTGCAGGCTTGTACTGAGGATCAAATGGAGGGAGGATCAATTACATTTGAATTTTGAAAGAGGGACTTGTGTTCTTCTCTCCCGCGGAAACGAAAGTGCTGCGGGACTTTTCAAACCAATACACTACCAAGGTCTTAGTAAGATCTGTGGATCACAACCGATTTTTTCAGTGTTCTTCTGGCTGAACAAGTGGAAGTCAGATAGTAAAGCCACAAAATACACACTGAAATGTATTTTCTACTCTGAAAGCTGCCACAGTACTGAAGCTTTAATGCTTGTTTCTGCTACATATATCACATTTAGCTTGTTGGCAAATGTATTTGTATAAAATGAAACTTCACCACCGATACTGTACAAAGTTTCTGGTTACAGCAGGAGTTCTTTTCATCACCTGGAATCACAGAAAGTTATTAGCAGGTGATATTATGTTAACATTATGTTAAAACATCCAAAATCTGCAGCAACTTTCCTTTCCTGTTTTATTTATAAAAACATTTACAAGCTCTGTGCAACACTATCTATATAATACATAGCAGAAAGCAATCTGGCTAAATTGTTTTAGATCAGTTGTTCTTTCCTAGCAATCTTCAAGGGCAGCCCCATGTAGAAGGCATGGCAGCAATCAAAAGGAATGAATCACCAATATATGGATCGTTCATGCCAGATCTATGGTTACTAGAAAGGCCACAAGTTCATTATCAGTATTTCCTTATATTGTCTTCTTTTTCTCCCACTGTTGCCTTTTATGAACCTGCAGAGGGCACAATAGGACTCTGTACGGCTAGAAAAGAGAGCTGCAAACGTCAGGATATTACATATTTTGAGGTTTTTTAAAAAACGAGAAAGATATATTATAATTCCTAAGTGACAAATAAATAGAGATGGGAAGGAAAGAAATGACATAGCCCTGGATTATCTGACCCCCAAATATGGGGAGGTCAGCTCCAAGATACTGTAATCTTTCTTTTTCTTCTTTCACCTAACTCTATCATTTTTCATTAACTATTGTTCAAAGCTAACTATTTATCTCTGGTCCATAGGGTCACGAAGAGCTGGACATGACTAAACAACAACAACAAACTATTTATCTGAGTCATTCTGTGCCTTTAATTGTGCTCTGATTAGTGGCAAATAGCAACTGAATCATTTCCATCATTTTGAGAAATCATAGTATTGATGAAGGTGATAATAACAATCACACCATAACTATGCATAATGCTCTCAGAGTGACATGCAAAACAATAACTAGTTGGTTTGTGTAATCACCATCATCTTTGAACTGCAGAGCTGAAAGGGACCCTATGCATCGTTAAGTTTACCCCCTGTCAAGGAGGCACAGTGGGGAACTGATGCGTTTATGCATTTTAAAGGAGTTTTTCTGTGCCATGTTTCTGAAACCCGCTGAAGCAGTACAGAAAAAGATTCAAAACCAAACAGCAGTCCCAAGAAAACTTTTTTTAAAAACTATTGGAACTACGAGAACAGTTTTAGGAAAGCAGTTAAGAGGATGCGTCCTGCACCCCTTCATGAATAAAAAGAGAGATTCAGGGAGCAATTGGACCTCCTGAAAGAATGTGTTCCAGAGTTTACTGTTCTTTGTGCTACAAAAATAAGCATGGGGTTGGGCAGGATGTTGTTTTTATACATTTCAATAGCGACTGCCACAAAGAGGGCCGTCTCTCCGCACAAAGGGATCATAGAATCTCACACTGGAGAAGACACTCATTACATCATAGTTTGTCTCACTCCCAGGAGGACAGGATTGTTCCCCGCAACAGATTAATAGTACCATTCGCCAGCAAGTGTTGCCAGCAAACAGACGATCCTTTCTCTTGCTCACCAATATTGTGGAAAGCGAGAATATTGTTATTTTAACAAGGAAATTAATTTTTTGTTTGTTTGTTTTGCTTTATCGACAGAAGGCTGTTCTCTCAAAACAAAATCTTCCAGCCTCCTTCTCAGTTGTCCCTAAGTTAAGATTTGACTTTTTCCTCTAGCGCTATGCTTCTTGAGAAAGAAGAATTCTCACTCGGCATTTAAACAATGCCCATTTCTCATTTATTTATCTTATTTTGTTCCATTCACCTCTTGCCTTTCCCTTCAAGCAACTCACGGTGGTTTGTCTGCTCTAGCTGAATCATCACACCTGTGCCTCCAGAACAGCTAGTGATCTTTGTTGCCGAGTGAGGATTTGAACCCAGGTTTTTGCAGTCGTTGTTTAAGACTCTAACCGCTACCCCTCATTTGAGGGCTAGGTTTAATACCCAGGTTTACAAAACACACGCTGATCTGAGTGCTCCATGTTCAGTAGTAAATTAGCAAAGCTCAGAAACCAAGGAGTAGATTTGGTGGCTCACATGTTGACGTTCACAATTTTGGACTTCTGCAAAGTTCCATTGGTCCTAATAAAAACCATTGCCCGTTAGTTTCAGGCTGAGTTATTCCATAAGCATTTGAACCTTGGACACATGGGGAAACCTGTTCTCGCAACCCTAAACCTGCAGGGATTTTGACCTTTGCTCTATATGCGCTCCCTCAAATTCCTGTCATTCCAGAGGTCCAGGAATGCAACCACATTTGGTAAACAGCTTTACGAGTCTTTAGGAGGAAAACAAGGGCTAAGAGAGGATCATTCAATAGGTGCGGGACTCCATGAGGAGTCAGGGGCAGAAGAAGTGGGGACGTTAATGTTAGGAGTACGATTCCAGAATCCCCCAGCCACCAGAGAGAACAGCCAGTCTCCGATCAGAGCAGAAAATAGCTAAGGACCTGCATTGTCCTCAGACAAACGTGTAAATACAGATTGTATCCAATGTACCGTATTTTTCACTCCATAAGACGCACCTTTCCATAAGACGCACCAATTTTTTAGGAGAAGAAAACAGGAAAATATAATCTGTTTTCTTCTCTCCATAAGACGCACAGACGTTCCACCCCCCTGTTTTGTGGGGGGGAAAAGTGCGTCTTATGGTGCGAAAAATATGGTATGTACTTTTGGGGGATGTGGATGGCGTGGCAGGTTAACCCACTGAGCCACTGGGCTTGTCGATCAGAAGGTCGGCAGTTCAAATCTACGCGATGGGGTAAGCTCCTATTGCTTGTCCCAGTTCCTGCCAGCCTAGCAGTTCGAAAGCATGCAAACGCAAGTAGATAAATAGGTACCACCACGGTGGGAAGGTAATGGCTTTACATGCCTAGTCATGTCGGCCACATGACCACAGAAAGCTTCTATGGACAAACACCAACACTTCGGCTTACAAAGAGGGATGGGCACTGGCCCCTAGAGTCGGACACTACTGGACTTAATGGTCAAGGGGAACCTTTCCCTTTATGTACTTTTGAGGTGACCATAGGATGGAGCAAAGGGCAGGCGACAGTGTGGAGCAGCATCCCCCAAAGACTCCTTATAGCAGATCTAGCATTTGTAGGTTTAAAACTGTTAAATAAAGGCAGTGTGCAATTAAAAAAGGGGGAAAGGGGAACGGAAAGTGTCCATACCTT